CCGCAGTATTTGCTGCTGTATTTCGTAAACTCCCCCTGATACACCTGAACAGGAAGATTTCCTCACATCGTTTCCTTGTGTCTGGACATCATAGGGTAAAACATATGTGCTTATTTTATAGGAAGTGATTTTAAAATATAAACTGAAAACTACCTGGGATCATAGTGTTTCTGTGATTTTATTTAATTATGTATAATAATTATCCAGTGCCAGAAAAAACATGACTTGCAAAATACTTTGCACTCAAAATATTTTTAGTATTTGTTAATGGTTTCTGCTTTCTTTTGACTACTTGACTTACAAAATGATTTTATATGACTACTCCATTGAAGAGTAAAGGTAATTCATGTTTAAGTAATTAACTGCTTGTTTTATGTAGTCATGATATTATTTCACTATTTTTGAAAAATAACAATCATGGATAGCATTCATTGCAAGAAAGTGAAAAATATAATTTACTCCAGATATTGATTTTTAAATGTTGCCTTAAATAGGTGAAAATGAGCAGTAGTAATTGCTATGTACTGATTTACCTCAAGGTGCAAAATAATTAAACCTGTACATATTCCATTTACAAAATAAATTCATATAAACAGCTCTGCACTTTCTTAGATGCCTTGGTTTCCAGGATGGAGCTTAGTGCTACTGAATACCCTGGCCACAGAGCCGCCTCAGGATATTCTTCTCTCCACCCTGTTTTATTTATTTATAGATGTCTGTTTACAAATACTGTAATAAATCTCGATGTTGACCATTTGAAAATTACTTTTCTTTGAATGCTATTTCACTCAAAAATAGCAGCTTTTGAGAAAACAATGAATTAACTTCCCTACGCTAAAGGATGATTCTGTGTATTTTTAATAATATTAGATATACTGAAGTGAAGCACACAATCTTTCTAGTGTGTGTGTGTGTATGTGTGTGTATGTAAATTATAAAATCTTAAATCTCTTAAGTTGTTTAAAAAAGCTGTGGCATATCAATGTCCACATTTGCCAAGTCTTCTGTAAAAAATGTAGGACAAAAATTTTTTATGTGCTAATGCATGTATTTATAAAGGAGATTTCTTTACCACTTAAAATTAACTTTTGTTTTTTCATCCAAAAAACATTTCTGTTTCTTCCACATACATAAAATATATGTATGTACTAATAGCTTTCTAATTTTTTTGCTTTTACAAAGACAGGTTCAGAATTTTGTAAAAAAGAAAAATAGTTTCTGAAACTGAGGTATGACACCAGAGCTTTCTGTTTTTTAAGGATTATATCATGTACATCAGTTCTGTAAATGTGCTCAACAGTTTTACATGTGTATCCTGTTTTAAAGTGCTCAGATTTCAGATGCATATGCCATTGATATAAAATTATAATTAAAAAATGTTTAATTTAATGTTTTAAATTTATTTATGTAGTGGATCACATCATTGTTATCGTATGCAGTACAGTTATGTGAAATGTCTTTTGCTTTAGTCCAACAATTATTTATTTTTTAGAAAGTAAGCTTAAAGATTTTAAGGACATTTGAAATTTAAAATAGTGTTCTAAATTTCAAAATTTGGCTATTTTTATGTAAAGTTGGTTCTATTTTAACTTTGCAAAAGGTAATATAAGTATCAAAAATAGGAAAACATACAGTTGGAAATGGAATCTAAAGATCATTTAAAAAATTTAATTAGCACATATTGACGTCTACAGTGACTTAGACTAATTGTAAACCCCAGGTTTTTTTTTAGTCAAATTTTTGTGCGTTGTTTGATTTTTGTGTCATGGTTTTTCTTTTGTTGCTTTAATATTAATTTCTGTGTTGTTTCGTAGGGGGATTATCTTCCAATGTTTACTGTGTTTAAATAAATAGAAATTGAATTTTATCGTTCATTTATATAATATTTGATAGCTTGGTATAATTTCACAATACAGTTCTAATTTTTATGACTTTTATAATTACAGTGATATTTTCTTTTGTAATAAAATCCAAAGTAAATTAAACATTTAAAATGTAGAATTGATATTTTTCATTTATATGGAGTACAGGTCTTTACCAAGTCTATAATGTGAATGATCCTGCCTTTCAAATTTGTTTCATAATTGTTAGAAGAAAACTATTTTTTGGAGATGTTATTGAAGTTGACAGAGCAATAAAAGCCTACTGAATTAGTTATCGGAAGTTGTGTTTATTTTGTACTTTGATTATTAGAAGAGCTGAATATCTTTCTCAGGAGGAAGGATTGGGAATAAAGGAATGTGAGCGATTGCTATTTCCTGCCTCCTAATATTCATATGCTTCAGTAAGAAAGAGACAAAAAAAAGGAAACAGAAAAGATTAAACAAAATTGCATTCACAATGACTTTTTGATAGGAAGTTGAGAAATTAAAACCTTTAAGATGGTTGGTTCATTATTTTTCCTATTTCAAGACATATCTATTTAGGATAGAATTTTGTAATGCGATGTGTAATGAGCACAATTTATATGATGTGTGATAAACATGTTAATACTGAATTCTCACAGACTCAGCTTATTTTTCTTTTTATAATGGCTAATTTTATGATTTTTTGAAAAACAATAGTAAATAACAGGTCTTGGTTTGTTTTCCATTTGGCACATATGTAACACCTTCCTCCTGTATTTTCTGCAGTAAAAGCTTCTGATACCCCACCATGAATTTGATAACTTTTGGGATTGAGATATGGAAAGGTGCTTCTTATGGCTTTAGAAATTTCTTTTGAAAGTTTGCTTACATTGTTTTTTTGAAAAATATTTTGTTAATTTATTATACCTACAGAACAAATTCTTTTTTCTTTGATTCTTTTTTTTTTTTTTTTTTTTGGAGAAGGGACAGGGGGAGATAAAAGGAAATGTATCTCACTCATTTTTGTTGAATCTTGCTCCTTAAGGCATATCTGATCTCTTGAGCATCAGTTCTTTCTGTAGTTGACCTTTACATTCCTGCCTCTGTGCCTTTAATGATAACATTCCCGTTATTTGGAAACCTGCTCTTCTATTTCTCTACTATTCTTTCAAAGTTTAAGTTCTGCTTTTTCTTCAAATTTTACTCAGCCTTCTGCTATCAGTCTACAAATTATTCTAATTTCTCCACTGGAAGAGAGAGCGAGTGTGTGTGTGTGTGTGTGTGTGTGTGTGTGTGTGTGTGTGTGTGTGTGTCTGTGTGTGTGAGTATTTAGCCTAGTTCGGTCTTAGACCAGTGGTCTAATGGTATTTCAGAAATTTGAAGAAATGTTTTTGTCTTCTTGCTAAGTTGATCTGAGTATTTCATTTCCTATTTAACTTTTATTTGTTTCTCTATGTTGTAGTTATGACATTATGCTGTTTTACCTTTGAACTATGTCATTTACATTATCTGAATTCATTTCAGGATAGTAAAAAGGGTATTAGAAAACATAAAAGGGATGTTAGGTCTTAAAGATTTACGCCCTACCACATAAGCCATAAGCTTGGTGCAAGCATGACCCCTCTGAGGGTCATGTATCTTTATCATCTTATAGAGGACAGTGTGGATTATCAGGTGGAGGTGATAGTGCACCTCTCCTCCAGAAGCTGATATTTTTCATATCTCAATCTATGCAACTTTCAGCTATATTCAGGGAAGGCCAAAATGTTAATGTTTTGTTGAGGAGGAGGAAGGTGGGAAGCATGGTCAGGATTCTGATGAAGTTAAGTGAAGTCATTTTGTTTCACTGCTTAATATTTTAAATGTCTGTAGAGAATACTTTTTCTACCCACCTGTCAACTTTTTTGTTGTTTTCTTTTGATTAGTAACACTACTCCCTCTAGTTTTGTGATCTCTGAAGTTTAATTGTAATTTGTTGTATTTACCCGAATTTGGCTCTGATCTCACCCTTCTAAATTTCCAATATGGAACCTGTTCTAGTTAAAAAATATATTTTTTCAATTACCAAACTCACCTGTTCTTTCCCACGGGGCCTACTTTTCATTATTTAAAGCAGACAACATCAGGGAAAGGGGTTCACTATTCACTGGAAGATTTCATCACCACGCTAAATGACACCCTAGTGGGCATTTGGAGCGCTATGCAGATGGGATTGAGTAGGGCCTCCACTTGAAGAAACTGTCCGCGGTTGAGACTGCACTCCAGATTCAAACCGAAGCTTCTACCCTGCCTCCATCACTTACTAGCTCTGCAGTGTTGGGCATCTTGGGAAACTCGTGCCTCCATTTTACAACTCCAAACTGGGGTAAAAAATAATGACCACCAGATGACGTTGTGAGGAGTAAACAAAACAGGCAAGAGGAAGAGTTTGGAATAACGCCTAGCACATTTTTAAAGCCCCATAATGTGAATAAAGTGGCTTTTTAAAGCTTTATCTAATGCAACTCAAATATTTTTCAAGAAGCTTCAGACTTTCACAAAAGATGAAGAGACTTGCCCAAAGCCACAGAACCAGCTAGTGATAGGTTTACCTAACAGATCTCTTGAATCTCAGGTCACTCTTTTTCGCAACACCGCATTCTCGTTGCCTGAAGCATGTAGTGCGCTTAAGTAGCGAAGTGTCTTCATGCTATATGAAAGCTATTTAGCATGTAGCATTGATCCTTTTCTAACTAAATCTTTGCTTTGGAAGAAAATAACTTTAGTCCATAGCAATTCTGAAAATTAAAGATGAAGGAAGCTGCTCCTCACTCTCATTTTATTTCAAACGTTAAAGGTCGGGCACACAAGTTTAGAAAAATCCCCAGCGTTTAGGAAACCCTGCGTTTAGGAAACACAGGCAAGCAGCTCTAGATCGGGGGGAAGTGCCCTGCAACGCCACCTCTAAGCACCGCTTCTCGCCTCTCCAGCTTGCAGCCTTGGGCTGGAACCTGCGCGTTCTCTGGTTGCTACGGCAACACTGAAGCAAGCGTCACCTGTGGCTATGGCGCTCGGCACGCGGCAGCACGGTTGTTCCTGA